TTCGGGATACTCGGTGTCTAGTTCTCTACCTGTTTTTCCCAAACTCTCAGCTTCGCATGCAAGCTTTGGCAAATCCCGTCTTGGCATTCGTCTGGAAACCGTGTCGCCGAAAAGCTTGAGAAGACTACCTGTAACGAACGTGCTTCATCTCTTCGTGTGCATGCGATCAGCCACATGTGCTCCCGCAAGGGATCCTGCACGTTCACTGCAGATCCTTTCTGCGATGTCGTGGCCATCCGCGAGCATGGCAAACGCAGAGAGGATCGTCTCCTGGAATTCTGCCCTCATCTGCCAAAGGGAACAGCTCAGGCGGATTCTCAGAGGTCAAGGTCAGGCTTGATCACCAGGAGCCACACTCGTCATGAAGGAGCATTCCGCCTTTCTTTCGCTCTCTCGTCCTGGAGGCACCACTGAAGAACACCCGTGTGCGGCACAGCCCTGCACACTGCTCCCAAACCGATTTCAGGAGAGCAGCAGGCATGGACTCTCCTCGTCGGCCTTGCTTGCAGCTGGAAGTACGTCTAACCTCCAAGCACGAAAACTGTCTGGACCAAACAACATCGCTGACTCTTGGCAGTAAAGGCGTCTCTGCAGGAATATTTTTTTGCACGTCAAGTCCAAGTCCCAGCGGCTGATAGACGAGCTCGTGGAAGACCTCCACGTGCTTAATGAAACGGTAGCCCCGCCGCTCGAAGAGGGCGACGGAAGGTGCGTTGTGGTCCTGGCAAACAAAGCCGCAGAAAGTGGCATGAGAGGACACACTCGGTCCTTTATCTTTGCCACGAAGTGTTTCGTCTTGAGGTGCTCGATGCAGTAAGCCTGCTACAAGTAGGAATGCAAATTCAGATCAGAACGGGCAGCTAGCCGCTAGCCCTGGCCTGCAGCAATGACAATGCCTCCTTAGCCAACCCACGTCGCCGTGAGGAGCTCGAAGCAATCATGACCTGACAGGGCGCTCACGACTGAGGAGCTGCCACCTCAAGTTCGAACCACGCTGGACTGGCCTCAATCTCGCCAGCCTCGTAAAGACCTAGCTCCTCCTCGCCCTCAACCAGGCCAGCCTGTTTGGCAACGCATCAACTCTGACATTGTCCATGCGGATGCGCTTCCGACCGCAGGCCTTGGAGAAGAAGACGTTCACGTCTCCAACCATGGCTCCTGCTCCGCCTTCGAGGCCGAGTGCCGGATCCGCAGGAAGGCTGCGATCCAGTACGATGAAGGTCAGCTTGTCCTCTGAACTCAGTCCACTGCTGTTTTCAACAAAGTCTCGTACAGAGCTGCGTGGCGGTCCTCGCTGTCGCGCCAGGTCCGCTGCATTTGGTACTCCTTCGCTCTCTAGGAAACACCAGCAGTTTTGGCCTGTCCTCTTTTGCTCTCTTTTTTGTTGGCCTCCTCCAAGGTCAGCGGCTCGGAGCCCGTGAGGTCCAAGAGCTCCGGGTCCTCACAACGCGACCCGGCCCGGCCTCGCAGAGTTCCCGGGGCTCCGGGTCCTGCATCCACTCGTGGTACGTCGGAACCATCGACTTCTCGTAGGGAACCAACAGGCACACTTCGCCTTGGCAGATTCGCACAAAGCGCTCCAGATAGAAACCTTTTGACAGCTGCCGTCCAGATTCCGACGAGCCGAGTGTGTTCATTGAGTCGCCTCTCACATGAAGCCGAAATCAAGCCATCAATTGCATTGTGTGCATGGGCCTCAACTGCCTCACCTCAACTTTCTGATCCATCTGTTTTAAAGGGCTGACAAGCCAGGCCACATAGTTCCGAGATCGATCAGCAGGCCGCGCCCATACACGGCTCTACGATGGTGTTCATGTTTCTGATGTTTCTGCCCTGTCTGAGACACTCTACCGAAAAGCACTGCGGATGTGCACATGCTTGTCGCTGTCGGCAGGGGGAAAATTGGATCTCGCGTTTGCCGGCGCATCCTGAGAGCATCTTGGCTTTCGGCGCCGTCTGCGCCTGGTCCAGGGTCTCCCGAAGAAGGTGGCCTCCCGCGACGGCCACGGCCACATTGAGCCTCCACTAAACACCGTCTGCAAAGAGCTTCTGAAAGCCCGAAGACTTGCCGAAGGCTGCTGGTGTTCTCCCCCCTTGCGATTGTCCTGGCTGAGAACCCGGCATTCGCACCTATCAGAGCTTTGTATTGAATACAGAAGTTTCCAACAGAACGTGTGCACCTTGCACTTGCAACTGCGACGTCGTTCGCGTCTCGCGGCAGCACGCTTTGCTGCACGCGAGGTCAGATAGCTGTCATGGGCAGAGATGCCACATGGCGACCGCTCTAGTTGTCGTGACTGTTCTGTTCACAATGATACTCCCTTCCACGCTGAAGATTTTATGTCTGGCTTGGGCCACGTCCAACTCGACAAACATCCTCCTGACGCGCCGGATGGCGCTGATTGAATCGTGACAGCTCCGCTGTCTGCACACTACCTGTACCCAGTCTCACAAGCTGCCCTCACTTTCTTGGCTGAGCGCACAAATTCGGAGAGTTCTCACAGTTGAACTTCAGGGCATCGCTCCCAACAGCGGCCCTCTGCAAGTCATTTAATTCCATGCAGGCGCAAACCAGGTGTCTGGAAACACTTCTCTGAAGGCATCTTCGTGGCTCCTGAGCACCACCACGGAAGAACAACTCAATCCTGCACATGCGTCTATAGAACATGTCTTTGCGGGTCTGCAGTGTCAGCATTGCGCCGTCGGTCCCTGCGAGCTAAGGCCGCGACAGGCTCCGCTTCCTTCCAGGGTGCCTGGGGCTGTGGAACCTTGCAGAGATCGCACGTGTCCGAGGATTTCGGGCTGGAAGCTTTTCTCGGCGAGGGACCATGGCAAGTCCTCCTCCTCCTCCTCCGCCTCTTCTTGGAGCTCTGCAAAATGCCTGAGTTTGCTAAGACATGAGAATATTTTGCACGACACCATGACAGAGCCCACAGCAGTGCGACATGTCTTGGTTCCGCGCCCTGTCCAACTGCTCGGCACAGCAGGAATTGCCATCACCGCATGGGGCATCCGGGTCGACTCGCCACAAGTTGAAGCCCCAAGCATCGCCTTTGTCAATCACATCTTGGCGCGTATCAAGATCGCAAGCGGAGAGGAGAACTTGACAGTTACGAGGGTCACGGAGCTTGAAAGATCGAGGGAAGGCGAAGGCGAGACAGCGAGCTGTCATCCCAGAGCCATTGCAGCTTTCTCGACATGTCGTCGAAGCAAACTTGTAAGGTCTCTGCCTCGCGGTCTCGAAGCACAGCCCGGCCTGCCCGGCCTGCTCGAGCGAGAAATCACAGAAATCAGATCAGCGACCGGGAAAGAGCAGAAGTAGCAAACTTCAGCAGGTCCAGCTGCAAGGGCGAGGGACAGGTTAAGCATGTATCAAAAACATCTGAGATTCATCAAACCAACGTGAATCCCAAGAGGTGCAAGAGCACAACGACGACCATGACGATCACGATCACTAGGCGACGACCACGACCACCAGGAAACCACGAGGAGACAGCCAGCAGACCTCGAGCTTCGCACAGCTCACGAGTCTTCGGATCCTCGTGGGAATGGGCCAGAACTTAGGCATGGAATTGTTTGCTCGAAGCCGTGTTTCTCGTCATGGGACGGCTTCAGCAAGCGTGGCACGCTGTTCTCTGAGCGAGAGCTCCTTGTTGCCTCGGGCAACAAACCGTTCCTCTCGCATGCTTTGAGGAGGCGAAAGCGCGGCAAACTTTGGCCGACCGACTCTCCTCGCAGCCCTGGCACTGCACTGTTTAACAGCGCAGTGCACGGCTATGCTCCACTGCCACGGGGTTTCCGTCGGCTCACCTGCCTTGCGGCATCAGCTGGCAGCATCAAAGCCGACGCCTCCGGGCTTCCACCAACTCGTTCATTCAACAGCATGGACTCGTTCACTCATCAGCATTGGATGTCTGCAGAACTTCAACCGAAACAACTGGTGAAAGTTTGTTGCCCGCAAGGCGCTTGTTCCTGGTCGGTCTGGTCGGTTCTTTGGTGCGCCTGCAGCCGCAAAGGCTGCTGCCATGGCTCCGCCGCGAAGACGGACCTCCAGGCTCCGCCAGGAAAAGACTTTTGGTCACAGAGGCCCGTGCCTTGCGAAGCAGCTCCAGGCGTTTCTCGGGTGGCTCCTTCTCCCAGGCCCCGTGCTTCAGGAGCAGGCCTCAGGCGGCAAGCAGGGGGCTCAGCCCGCTAAGGCGGCTAAGGCTTCTAAGGCTGTCCTTAAACCTTTCTGTCTTCCCAGTAGCTCGCTTCACCGGGGCGGTAGCTCGCCACAGCCAGCGCCAGGGGCGTGGAGCCCCCGTGGCCAGCCAAGACAGCTGGCTGCTTCACGGCGACGTCAATCCCGCGGATGAGGAGCGCTGGCACGCAAGCGAGAGGCATGCAGGCTGCAGAGCGGCGAGCAAAGGCTTACAGGGTTAACCAAAAAGGCTCAGTCTCAAGTAGCCACGGCTGACCCGCAAGATCACACGAAAGATTGCCATGTCAGACTGCGGTTACGGCAACAGCCTTCCAAGACATCTGCATAGCCATGCACAACGCTCCAGAAGAGCGCTGCTCGAGCGTTGCCTGCAAGAGCCTGTGCCAGGCGGCTCAGCAAAAGGAAGGGAGGCTGCGTTTCGCTTTGAAAAGCGGGGCCTCCCCCAGTTTCGCGCTCTGCTCTGTCGCCAGCTCGAGGAGCTTCAAGGCGACCAAAGGCCGTTCACAGCACACGGCCCAGTCGATGCCTTAGGAGCCGCGAACCGCAAGCACGGCTGCGGCCATTGCGGTTTCGGCGACCCCGGCTACAATGCTGCAGAAAGTCAGGCTCTCCGTTCGAGGCGCAATTGCCTGCCTCACCGTATCCCAAGTTGAAGCTCAGATCCAGCTGTGCTCCACGCCTGGAAGGGAGTAGATGGCAGGGGATGTGGACACTTCTTCGGGCAACGTTGATGCCAAGCCGCTGCACCAAGGATGCCACGGCAAAAAGGTCGCCTTTGCGCACGGCCTTCACAAGATCGCCATGCAGCTCCAGCCGCTCTCGCCGGACCTTGGAGGCGGGCGCCGCAAAAACCGCGGCAAGGCAGCTGCTCCGCGCTGCGCAGTGCCACGCAGTGCTACGCCTCGAGGACCGTGGCAGCGGGCCCCCAGGTCGGCCGCTCCACGCGCGGGGCCGCCTCTACGACCGCCGACACGGTGGACCTGCCAGGCGGCCCACGGCCCACGGCCCATGGGCGCGGCGTCGGCGGCGCGTCGGCGTGGCCCTGAGCCCCCCCTTTTGGGCCTGGCCCTGGAAGCGCCAGCGAGATCTAGGATAGCGGAGACGGTGAAGTCGTGATCCGCCTCTGATTGCGACAGAATGCTTCAAAGTGCTGTCCTCGAAGGAGTTTCTTGCAGATGCCTTGCAGGTTGTCTCGGACAGCGCTTGGAGCACCTGGCAAGATGTGCATAGCTTTAAGGATTCAAGAGGACTTCCACATCACACATGAAAACCTTCCGTGCAAGTTCCTGTGGTCTCTGCAGCCATAGGAAGCCACTGCTGCAGTGGTCTTATACTTCACGCGAGTCACGCAGCATGTCACGCAGCATCTCACGCAGCATGTCGACAGCCTTCCCTCGCCGAACACCTCACTCGAGACTCTCTCGAGACTCTCTGGAGCGAGGTGGAGCCGAGTCTTCCCAGTCCTCCTTTCCTCTCCTTTCCTCTGCTTTCCTCTTTGGCTTTCTCAGGCAGCCGAGTCTCCAACCTGTCACCTGGTAACACCTGGTGTCTGCTGCCCTCCAGATGCTTCCGCTGCACCTCCTGATACCCAGGCAGTTGTCGATCGAGGATGCTCTCAGTGTAATCGGCTGATACTCCTGAATACAGCCCCCGCACACAACCGCGATCAAATTAGCCATTTCATCTCAAAAAGCTCCAAAACTCCTGCGGCCACGATCACCTGCTGCATCCTCTGGGCCTCTGCAGCGCGGGCGAGGAAAGAGACCCATGCCCTGCCCCCGCTGTGTAAGAAGGCAATCGGAGCCGATTGCCTCTGCATGTGTGAGCACCTCCCGCTTGCGCGGCTCCTTCTGCCATGCACCGTGCTGCAGCAGCAGGGACACCACCTCCTCGCTCGACAATGCCTAGAGTCTAAACCTTCTTCTTGTCCTGGGGCCTGACTTTCTGGGCATGAGATTCGATCTTCCAGACCCCTCCACCAGCAGCGTGCCGGGCCCCATTCAAAAACACAGGGAAGCTGCAATTGCCGACCGGGGGCTCGGCAAAAGAAGGTTGTCGAACTGCCTAAGAACCCGACTAACGCTCGAGCAGCTTCGGCGAACCGACGGCTACAGTAGGGTCTCGGAGGTACAAGGCTAAAACATGCATGTTCTCAAAGCACTTCGAGTATCTAAAGCGTTACCCACGAACACGGCCGCCCACTCTGAACCAGAAGCACTGCCTTGTTGTTCACGAGGGTTTACCAGCTGCATTTCAGCCGAAACAGCATTTTGTTGCTCTCTCTCTCTCTCTCTCTCTCTCTCTGAAAAACCATGGCAGAGGAGGTAGGCGGCTGCCCTCCCTCCCGCACGCGCAAGTCGTGGCAGGTTCACTGTGGGGGTTTCCTCCCGGTGGCTCGGCTGTGCGAAGGGATGAGCTTGAAGGAGTCATCCCCCTTTATGGCCACAGCTTCTCTCTTTTCTTTCGTCAGGGCTAGGGCTTCTCTTCATTCCTTCCTTCCTTCCAGCGGGTCCAGGTCCAGGTCTGCGCATGCAGACCCGCGCCAAGCGACCCCCTCCCTGTCAGGCTTTTGAGGGAAGCGGCTTTGGGGCCTTGCGAGCGATGTTCGCTCCGACGGATTGTTCGGGCTTCACTCTCGCTCGATAACTCTCTCTCTCTCTCACGGGCCTTCGGCCCCCAAAATAGATCCGAATACCCAGTTCTTGTGTCGAAGCACAATCTCCTGCGAAAACCCCTTGATTGCCTGAAACACGACGTCCCGATGCCTGCAGAACACAGCGTGAAGTGGCAAACCCGCTCCTCCTGACCAGCCCTCGCGGCCACATGCAACGCCGTTTCGCCCCAGAGGTTCTGCTGAGCGACGTCGGCAGAGCGCTCGAGAAGCATCTGCAGCAGAGATGCCTGGCCTAGGCAGCAAGAAATACCGCGAGAAAAGATGTCCCGTGGATTCAAGCAGCCACGGAACCTCGTTGAGATGCCACCACGACCGCTTGCTTGCTGCGTTGGGCCATCTGCACAACCTGCTCCCAGCTCTGCTCCAGCTTGGACTATACCGAGACACAACACCACCGGATGAGAGAACACAGATCCCCAGAACGGCCCAAAAGCTTTCCGAGAACGGATGAGCGGCCTGCAAGCAGCTCCGCTCCTCGTCGCGATTGAAAACCATGTGGCCATCCGTCAGCTCCAGGAGAAACATCGCCTCCTTTCTGAGCTTCTGCTGTCCAACTGCTGTGAAGAGCAGTGGTCTCTCTTTTTCCCAGTCTGAACTCAAGTGCTCACATGTCTATCGGTCACGGTACCATGTTGACAAACTTGCATTGCGCACTCACCAAAACTTCCTACTGGCACATGTCACCGGAATGGACCCTCCAATCAATCTCTTGTCACATCCATATTGCGACTTTGTCCAAAGAATCGTTCTGCTGCGTAAGCGTTGTCTCCGGAATTGAAATTGTTTTCAAGGCGGCATGCACTCCTTGTAGCGGCCTTCAAGCACCGCCCAGTCCACTGGATTCACCAAACTCGTTGTTGGGCCCTTCGGTGTTCCATGAAGCGGCACAGACGGCCTGGAAAGCCAAGCACATCGTCACGTGAAGGAGTGATTCACTTCTTGTCATGTCTGGCAGCACACCAGAGCGTGAAAGACCGCAAGCCAGATGAGGCCAGGCACAAGCCAAAGTACCCAACATCAATAGTGGCAATAGTCAACAATCTACCGCAAAACCGTCATATCCCCGTCCCGAAACATAGCTGCAACATGACAGGCACTCCGTTGAAACTTTGTCTTGCAGCGTATCTCCTCTTGCCTGGCGGGCATCCTTGTGGAGTAGTAGTGCGCCGAGAGCGATGCACCTATAAAGAGCTGCGCAGTGATCCACGAGAGCAAACTGTACATGCAAGATCTTGCAAGCAGTCCTCGATTCAGGGCCGATCGAATCTGCACGGTGTCGCCGATGCGAATGCCTTGCATGAGCTCCTGCCGGAGGGCCTGGGAAGCAGAGCTCAACGGAGGCGAACGCTGATTTGTCGGGCAAGTAATGTGGACACTGCACCGTTGCGTTTGAAAGAGACAAGCGGCTGCATGGATTCTCAGAAGCCGTGCCGGGTCGGAAGTTATTCTTGCCGGCGTAGCTTCACCTGTGCAACTATGCACACTGCAACACAGTGTCAAAACGGCCCTAGCAGTTTCCTAGCAGAAGCCCCGGCAAGTCATGCTAAGCCGGGTCGTCCGGGTCATCGAGATTGGGTGAAAGACATCTGCCCTTGCCTTCCATGGAAAAGCCCGTCTCTTCTGGCTGATCACCAGCACAGTGCATCGCGGCATGCGTCAGCAAGGCCTTCGTCTTGAACGACGCAGACAGCATTATGGATTCACACGCGCAGTCGCATCTGTGACCAGGAAGGCCCAAGTCGGTCTTGCAACACCTAAACTGACATAAACGTAGCTTCACGGGCTCACGCCTTCGCGACCACGTCGGCCAATCCCTCAACAGGCACTTCCACCTGGCACCACATGCAGCAACATTTACTACACTGCTCCACTGCTTCACCCTGACACCGATGCAAATGCGCCAGGTGGCTTCCTGCTTGAGGAGGTGTTGCGCCAAAGCTGCTGCGACGGTTTCCAGGTGTTCCGGACTGCTGCACGCTTCAGCCATGTGGGTGGCGAGGGCCGCTGACACGGCGTTGAGGTCCGTGTCCTGAAGCAGCGGCATGCGGCGGGCTGCTGAACCAGAGGCACTAAACGGAATGAAAGGTCCACGGAAGGCGAGGCTCTGGGTTCACCACCTCTGTTCCCAAGGCCTGCCTCAACAGCGCCGCCGCCACCAGATCCGAAGCATCTGGCTCGGCTGCTAAATGTCGCGCCAGGGTCTGAGCGGCTTGGAGGTAGTCATCAGACTCCTGAACACCGCTCGAAGCAACGCTAAGCTCAGCATGTCCAGTGGCTACGTTGGACCTCTTAAGCTTGAGTATTAAGGGGTTGGGGACGTCTGCTACTTTGATGTTCCGGGTGGATAAGCTGTATTTGTGCCTGGTATGACTTCAGAATATGCTTTGTCGCAGAGGGGCATTTTCTAAATACTGATACGTTGGACCTCAGCAGTCAGCTCCGCATGTGCAGCCAGCGCCCCGGCGGCGGCTTGCACATCGGACGGCGATGGATCGCCTTGAGCGTGTCTCACGCACACGTGGAAACGAAAAAGTTCGGGACACCACACAAATCCACAGAAAGCAGAGTCAGAGCCAATTTGAACTTCGTTGTCCATAATGATGTTGTGCAAGTGGGGCACCGCCAGTGGAGGCCATGGCAGGAGACACGGACAGGATGTGCGCTGACTAACGAATGGTGCCTAATGCTTGGAAGAGTTAGCATGGGAGAAATGCACAAGTCTTGCCGTACCCTGGCAATGATACTTCGGAAAACCACGCTGGGCATCGGAGCAACACGCCTGCAGCCACCACCACGGCGTGCACTTGTCTCTCTTCGTGGAAGCATTGTAGAATTGCTGCAATGGCTGCGTTACAGGTTACCGTTGATGCTTCCGCCCCAGTCCTTCTCGAGGCCAAGACTCCACAAGACAGCACCTTCGACCACCTGAGAGCAAATCTGAAAGTATGCTGTGGCAATGCAGGCACCCGTGGTCTAGTCTGGCAAACGTACTATTCTCAGCACTCGCAGCTGTTAAACAAAAGGGCGCCGGGATTGCAGCCAGAGCTAGCAATCCAGACTGTACGGAAAGCCTGCCCCGGCGTTGCCTCATAATCGGTGCCAGAGGTGATGTCACTGCTCATATCTAAACCTAAGTTCTGGAAGTCTGGAACTCAGAGGCTCCCCTCAGAGGCTGCCAAACACAAGAGCAGCCCTGCCGCTGTGGCTCAGGCGCCGGATGTGCGCCGGGCAGAGCGGTCCAAAGCTGCTTTCTGAAAGAAGAACCTGACGCTGATGCGCGCAACTTGTTTCTTTCTCCTTATAGTCTGCCGCGGCGGCCGTGGCCTGGCTAGAATCTGGAGAGTGGCTCCTCCAACACACCTGTCGAGCCGTCACTTTCTTGTCGCCATGCAGGAAGGCGCACAGTAGGGCCCACTCGCACCTGATGCAAGAAGACCACGGCGACAGCATCCTGCAGCTGCACAGCACCTGCCATCCACATGCACGCAGATGGCACCCTTCCGAAACAACAAGTCGGCATGGCCGTGTCGCCGCATCAAGCGTGCATGTGCCTGATCGAGACATGACCGGAGAGCCTTTTCCAGGTAGTTGACAGGTCTCAGACTTGGACTCGGGACAGGCGGATCAAGCTCTCAAGGCTTCGAGCGGTCACCTTGGGAGGGCAGCCCGCACTACGAAGAGCTCTCATTCGCACTTACTTTAGCCGCTTCTCTGCCACGAGCAAGCCACGCTGACCTCCCCCGAGCGCTCGAGGCCGGGTCCTGGCTCGCCAACCCACCGCTCTGCAGCGGCGGCTCGGGCTCTGCCGGGAATCTTTCGGATGTCTGCACGCTCACTCTCTCTGTAGCCATCCTCGAAGCTTCTGGTAGTAAGTCTCCAAGAGTGCGCGAGCATTGTCATCCTTCCCAGAAGACGAGTCGAATGGCGAGGCTGCACTGTCGAAACCCGATGCCCCGTCCGGCGAATCCCGAAGCACGCTTTCTTGAGCGGCGGCAACGAAGTCCTCGTGCAAACCGGCACCAGTCTTGGCGCAGAGAAAACTCTCTCGTGGTCCTTCAAGGTCTGGAAACGCAAGGCCTGTCCTTCGGCCGCAGGGTCACCTCTGCCAAGAAGGGCCGGAAGACGCTTCTAAGGCCCTCGCTAGGCCCTGCCGCCGCACTGCCGCCGCAGTGCCTGCTCCCAGGATGGCCTCCGCAAGCTCCTCATCTCCCGTCCTGGCTCCTCGAGAACTGAGAGATTTGACCCACCACCAAGTAAGACCACACCAAGACAGTCGACGCGACACTCGCACTCGCGGCCCCGCGCCTCGGAGTCCGAGGATCAGGTCGAAGCGGCTGAGTAGCGGAGCCGGGAGCCCGGTGAGCTCGGCACGGAGAGGCGTAGAACGGGGGACGTGAGACCGCGTGAGCTGCCGCTCCGGGCCTGAATCAAAGAAGCTCCGTCAGGATCCGCTGCCCAGCTCTGCGCCGCAACGACGCTGCAACGGGCCCTGCCATGGCGGCGTCCGCTCCAAATGTCCGCTCCAAGAGCTAAGGGAGGGCGCCTCAAACGACAGGTGAGCCCTGGCTTGGCCACCGAAATGGTCTGCTGCTCCATGGCCTGGCGAGCTTCTGGGCCGGATCAAAGCAGTCAAAGCGTCTTTTTTTCTGCGTGTGCATTCACTTTCGCTGGAGTTCAGCAAAAGCTCTACTGCGTGCCGTATTGACACTTGGGTGAACTGGCCAGTGCGCAGACTCCAAGCTTTCAAGCACAGCCTTGAGCAACTCTGCGTCTCCTTCTTTCGCGCTCTTGTGCTCAACGAAGACAAGCTAGCACTACTTGCCCTTCTTGGCCCTCTGATGCCATTATGCCATTGCACTGAAAACTTGGCAAGCTCTGCAAGGAGCAGATGCAACGCAGCCGGCTGCTCGTATGTACATCGCCTTAACACCTAAACCAAGCCAAGGTGTTCAACCTCCTCAAACTCTCCCTGAACCTCTTCAAGCGGCCCCTGCCCGCAAATCCGTTTCAAAGAGCTTCTTCGGCTCATCCCAGCCTGTGCACAGTGCAATGCGCGGGCCGCTCCTTCGCCGCTCCCAGGGGCTCCCCTGCCAGGTCCCTTTCAGGCCTAGCCAGTCGAACTTGAGGACCCGCTGTCTTGGCGCCTCCAGAGTCTAAGAAGCTAAGTGCGGCTTTGTCAGGGGACGCCAGTCGAGGCGACGCAAAGGGCGCCTCCAGGCTCTCCTGGAACGCACGTTGCAGTGCCGGGTTCGTTCGCCTCGCCGCCTCTGCTTGCCCGCTGCGGAACCGGAAGGGAAAGGGCTTTTTAGAGCACTGGGAGCTACTACCTCCGACGAAGGAAAGAGCTCCGTGGGTTTGGGCCTTCTCTCCAAGCCAGAACGGAATGAATGTTGGGTGAACACAAGTAGGCGAATCTGCTCTTGATCCCTTCCGGACACGAAACCGAACCACTCATCCCAGCGAGTTTGGTAATCCCCAGCTCTGTGTGATACTGATATGCTTTTTCTGTGCTAAGCTGCGGCAAGAGGGTCACGAAAGCTCCTGAGCTCTACATCTACAGAAGTATCTCGCTGCCACTCTCGGCAGCGCAGCACGCCTGCTGCATTCGCCTGCGTTCGCTCCAATGATGCCCACACAGCAGATACCGAGTCCCAGTGGTCTGCAATGTGCACAAGGATCTGGAATCCTACTATGACAAATAAAAACACCGAATCTCCTGAATATCCTCGAACCACTGCGCCTGCGTACGAGGCAGTCACAGTTGCAAGCACAAAGGATGTTCCGATGGCAACGACGGAGTGTATTTTCGACAGAGTCATTACGAAGATGGCCTGGAGCATGGCGAGGTGGAGGGTGGGTGTAGCCAACCGGTCCAACTCCATCTGACTATAAGGACATGCGTAGGATCGAGGAAAGTGCAGTAGAACAATATTCATAAAGCAAGGCATCATAATTAAGGCGGCCAGATGCAGGTCCCGTGAAAGCACATGGCGGCTCAGTCCTCTGAAGATGAGCGTCAAGACGAAGCCTAGCAGCAAAGTGCCCAGGAGCAACAGCGAATAATAGTGAATCAGCTGCCCCTTCGTGCACATCTTCGGATCAGGCCCAATTCTCCACTGTGCACGTGGATCAACTGATTCAAAAACCAGCTCCAGAATTACCAAGTGGTTACCCAGGATGGTGGCCGCACAGACCCATGGGAAAAAGGGATGCCTCTGCCATATGGACGAGCTGGTGAAAGCTGCATGAACCGATCTCCGATACCAATGGAAGGCTCGTCTCCAACAAGGGAAACTGCGGCTGGAAGACAGAAGTCCATTCGCGTCGCCGGTTACATCAACGAGCTCGTTATCAAACATAGTTCCGTCTCTCACGGCAATGACGTTGTTGGTGAAGTCGACACAGTACCAAGCACTGATGAGCATCTGGAAAATGTCGAAAAGCAGCAGCCGCCTCACGTAGCTATCCAACGGACCATAGAACTCCAGCTTGATGGTTTTGGGCCGTGCCCAAATATATAAATATCCTAGAGAGGTTGTTACTATGGCGGCAGGATGCATCTTGAGCACCATCATTGCCACTGTGTATTGCTGCCAACTGATGCCAGTGTAGACGTTGACTAGCGACGAAAGGCACAGATGAACGAACATGACGGACAAGCAGGCAGCGGTCCCGATCTCCACAGCGACTACATACCGTTGAAAGCACTCCGGGGCTAAAACTCCCAAAAGGCTTACGAGTGCGATACAGAACTGCAAGGCCCAAGCAGTGAGGAGGACTGTTCTCCCGAGGTGCCAATGGACCCCCAAGCTAAAGTCGAAAAGAATCCAAATGTTCAAGATCGAGAGCATCCAGCGAAGCTGCTTGCGGCGCATAAACGGGCTAGATAGCACAACCCTGTCGGTAGTATCCGCCCACCATTTTGAAAACGTCGACCAAGCTGAGAGCACCATGGAAGCCGCCACTTTCTCCTTGCCGGACACCTCGTGCCCAAATTTCCAGGTCGTGTCGCCCTGCCTACAGCATGTCCACACTAGGAATCGCAGAAACAATGCTGCAGATGCACAGCCTCTGAGTGCTGAATGGGTTTTGGTAGTTTTGGTGCCTTGCAATTTCAGAACTGGAATGGATTCAGCGAGAGTTACGAGAAAATGGCACCGCCAACTAAAGACCCTCGAGTGCCCTGAGCGATGTGGGGTCATTGTGCCTCTGCCGATTGAATCGGATGCGGCGTGGGCGGACGCCACAGTTGGCCTCAAGAAACAGCTGCTCAGCTCTGACTCGGCGCTTCTCGGCACAGCTCAGCGCCCAGCGCTTCTCCGTGCGTTGGGGTTCTTGCGTGTCTTCCGAGAAATGAACCGCAGTGGCCACCTTTCACGACAGGATTCTCAAGGGCTGCTATCAATCTGAAGACAGCAAAATCAGAAGCGGTGGCCTCTGCAGCATCCTCGACGGGGAATGATGCAATGCCAGCGCTTCCTTGCTCCTGGCACCACTACAAGCATTGCGCGAAATGGCTCTGTGGCCTCGTTATACGAATGGCTGCAGCTCAACGGCCGCTCTCCAATTTCTCACGCACACGAACTGTCTGCCTCACCAGCTCGTGCATCCGTCTCAAGGTCCACGTCTGGGATGACCTTCAAACATAAAGTTTAAAGAAATATACAGGCTGTCAAACCTTTCTCTGATGCTCGCACCTCCTCGGGCACTGTCTTGGGCACGGCGAATGCTGCGGCAATCCGGCTCACTTTTCGGATTCGACTGGCCATGAGCCTGGCATTGCGCTGAACAGGCAACAGAGGCAAGACTTCCACAAGCCAGCGCCACATGATCTTCGCCGATTGCCGCAGCTCTGCCCAGTGTAAGCCTAGTGACAGCCCCGTGGTCGAAGAGGCATGTCAAGACGCTCGGCCCTGGGGGTAGCACTGGCTCGTCGGCGTGCAGGCGGGTTCTCTTCGATATCAACTTCCTTCAGGGCAACCATGGGCATCCATGGGCTGTGGGCCACTCTCTTGCAGGTTCGCCTCCTGCTCCTCAGCAACTGAACTCCTCCTCCGCTGACCTCCGAGGTCTGAAGCAGCTTCTGGGCTCAAGTGCCAGTCTCGTTTAGAGAGGCAGCTCTGCTGATGACCCTCCTTTCCTTCTTAGACATGAACATAGCGTGTGTCGAGATACCGAGGTATGCCGTCTTGGTGCGGCAATGCCAGATACTCGGCGGCGGACCCAGAGCCAGCGCAGGGTTGAGCAAAAGCGATTGCCTGGGCGCAAAGGATGGGGCGCCAAACCGCCCCATAAACAACTTGAAATCAGCAGAGATCAGAGGCGCTGGCGACTGCTGTGACAGGGAACTTGCCGTTTGCGATGACAAGCTCGAGGAGGAGCGGGACTGAAGCAAGAGGCAACCAGGCAACATCCTCTGCCTCCGATCTACTGCCAGTGCATGCACGCCGCCTCGCTGGTATCATCGGCCTCGCCTGCCGGGGCAACTCTCAGAAGCGAATCGCGGCGGCTGTGCGTTCGCAGTGCGCCTTTGTCTCTGTCACCGCTATCTGGCCTCGGTGGTCATGACATGTCTCGAAGCTCCATTTGCATCGTGGGAGCTCTGATTCGTGAGGATCTGAGATTGGGACACCTTTATGGGTCCGAGCCTCAAGCCAAACGCAATGGCATATTCGCCGCTTCGGAAACAAAACTTGAACCTCAGCTCTGAATCCAGTGATTCTCTTCATGCTCTGAGTTCCCGTCGCTGGCAGCGGCACGACCGAGGAGACGCATGAACCTAGTGCGGAGTTGTCCTGCGACTTGAGCGACAGCGTGGCAGCAGAAACTGCAGACATCTTCTTGGAGCGTCGTTCCCCCACAGTCCTCAGAGTCCGACCCGATCTCCTCGGCCATGTGAAGCCTGCGACCATTCAGAAGCTGTCGAGCCGAGCTCTCGCCGGTAGCTCGGCCGAGCGGCATTTTGCTCGTGTGGGCGCCGATGTGGTCCAGAATGCTCCGCAGAGCCTGCAGTTGAGTTCTCAGTGTCTGCATCATCTGATGCAGATCTCGAACGAAAGCAGCCTCTGCGTTGAAGGTCAGTTGCTTGTCGCTGGCTGTCGGCAGCGGCTGCCGGACCGCAAGCTTGCCCTTGTCCTGCCCAGGCCATAACCGAGGTTTAAGCGAAACGGCCGGATGACCCCCCCGTCCAGACTGGCCTGCGACCAGCGCGCCCGGTTCAACTCCGCGCGCCGTCGCGCGACCTCGCGCTGCAAGTCGCCGCTGACCTCTTGGGAGATCCTTGGCACATAGGAGGTCGGATAGGCCCTGCAGTCCTACAGGAACGAAAATCTGCCGATCAGCTCCCGGTCAAAGCTGGCTCGATGGCCCAAGACTGCCCCAGCCATTGGCCCCAAAAGCCGCTCCAAACCTTAGTGCAAGCCACAGCTCCAGGAATCAGTTCAGGCCAGCTCAATTTTCTAAGTCACCTACAATCGGGAGCCTGTGCACATGTCGCTGAACAGCTTTTCAATCACAGGTCCCTCCAACTACTCCTGCCTTGCATAGCAGTATCTCGGTGTCGGGTCGCACCATGAAGTCGCACTTCTCCGTTTCCTAGCTGAAAACTGTGAATTCAAGAGCGCGTCTCGTCCTACCCACGTGTAGCAAGTACACATGTTCCCCAGGTCCTCAATGCAAAGGAGATCTGGATTCGCGGTCACAGTGTGATCGACTTCTGGCATCTCTTCCTCTTCCTGCTGGGGCTCCACAACAAATAACAAGCTGGGCTTCCGAGGCTTCGGAAGCTTGGCCTCTTCGTCCTCCATCTCATCATCCACGGCATCCTGGACAGGCCATGACAAGAACTTGCTCGCTCGTATCTTCGCGCCAGTTCTCTGAGCTCCACGCGTCGAGCAGAGAATCGACCTCGGAGCGATGCTCTCTCTCCGCTGCTGTCACTTACACGGCCCCATGCGACCGTGCTCTATAGAGACTTGTGTCTGGCCTTGCGCCGCGTCCCCGCCGGAGCGCCTGCAGGCCAGGCGGCCGAGGGGCGCGGGAGGAGATCTCTTCAACTACTCTAGAGACTCCTCTGTTTGTATATAAGCGGAAGCCGCCTGGATCACCCGTTCCTCCGGGCACAGCGCAGCCCCCAGGAATCTCAACGCACTTCTGCGAGGTGGAGGCGAAGAGGTTCTCAAGCTCGAAGCCGAGGCCTGAAAGAACACGAAGAGGGTAAGCCCCCTCTCGGGCCCTAAAGGAGGGTCGAAGCATCCGTATGTGGCCCGCACGGTCTCCGATCAAGATGTAGGAGATCCTGAATGCTTCATGTGTCTACTGACTCTACTGCAAGTCACAAATCATGCGGGACACACGGCCCGACTTGCAAGCAAGTGGCGTCCGCACACGCTTGCCCCACCAAGACTTTTCGCCCACGGAACGGCGATATCTGCGAAAGAGCTGCTCAGGGCTGATCTGGCCAGGACGAGAGCACGAGTCAGGGAAGCAGCACCAGTGGCAGCACGTCCCGCCTCGTCGTGCTTTGAGACAACGAAGGACAAGATGACCACACTCCTTATTGCCGACAGGAAGCACAGCGACCGCAGGCAGGGCACGCTTTAAGCGCTTAGAGGCTTAGGAGTGGACCAGTTGAGTCGAAGCAGCAGATCCCAATGCGGGCAGGCATTGGGAGAGGAGTACACGATGCGCCCCGGCTTCAGGTTTCCGACCCACTTCGCGAAGTCCATCAACGGGACGCCCATTACCTGAGATATCACAAACAGAGGCTCACACAAGTGCGAATGTCCATGTCCAGCCGAGCTTCTACTGCCAAGCCGCCAGCCACGAACTCCTCCATGCATCTCAAGCGAGACGTGTTGAAGCATGCAGCCGCATGCAGCAGCCCGCTCTTAGTTCGGCCCAGAGAAGCTGAACCCCACACTCGTCCTTTCCCCATTCGGCGAAGTGGGGTTCAAACTTCGGCGACCCGGGCATCTCTGACCTCAAGACATGCTGTATCGATACGGAGAACTCTTCACAAAAGCTCG